ACTTCTTGTACAGCAATTAACCACTAAGAAGAATATATGCAGTGTATTATTTGTTGAAACTGTACTTCTGATTGGATTTGAAACTGTCTCATTGCTATCTGTTTATCAATAAAACTTTGAAAAAAAAACATGAAGTAGTCACTTCATTAAAATTCAAACAGCAAAGCCTTATAACCACACACACAAGCAAAAACCCTTGTGTTGACTTTGACTACAATTATATAAGCCAAATGTTTCAAATACAGCAAAAAATTCCCATTTTAGCACTGAAAGTTCAGAAGAATCCGACGGTGAATTTCAAAATAGCTGGAGCGTACGCATTCGATTTCTCCTTCTGTAAGTTTTCCTATTAACTTCATGGCCACTAAAATTAAAACAATATCAATAACAACCAAGTCAAAGCTAAATTAATTTTTTTTCAGGATTATTACCTCCATGTGCATATTTCTCAGCTAGCTTTTAGGGGGAAGGGAACATTTCACTTTCTTAATCAGGTACAGAGTAGAGGAAGGCCCATAACAAGCCCTCGAATCTTAAAATTTTCTTCATACATTTCTCTAGTATTCCTTTATATGACCATTAAGAATACAGGCTAAAAATAAAAACTTCTTAAACTGTTAATCAGAAAGCCAAATCAAGCGGTATCTGTGACGCGTTTTAGTGAAACTTTAATTTCAATTCACACAAACACAATCTCTTAAAAAGCACTAAAACTAGTGGCTAGGTTCAAATTAACATTTCCAGTGTTCGTGTTGTCATTCCATGTTATATGTTTTTAAAAATCTATAAGTTTTAGACCCAGACAAAATTATTGTTTAAACCCGGGAATTATGATTTAGTCACACATTTTTATCTTGCTTTTTTCTTGCAAAAATGTACTCTTCCTACTATTTAAAGAAACAAACATCTCTGAAGTAACTGCTGAATTTCCAAGATCTCTGTCGTACTATCATAGTTAAATTGCAACAGTTGTCTTCTTTCTCTAAAGACCGGCAAGGGCAGGACAGTACTTATTTTCTGAGCATTACCAGGTTCATACCCATGAACACCGAAGAAGGACAGCTCGACCCGGGATTCTGAGGCCAATCTACATCCCGCCCTCAAAGAAACCTCCATCAGTTCTACACACTCTTTGGGCCAGCGGGCTCTTTTTCCAGTCCAGGAATTCTCAGTATATTAGGAAAGAAACCAAGGGATTTTTACCTAATAGTCTACGCATGTTACATTTGGGGGTTTAAACAGGAAAAGTAAAAAGACGCTGGGGGCAGCCCGCTCGCCCGCGCGCCCAGCCACGCCGGCGTCTCAGCCCGCTGTCAGCCAGATTCTCACAGATCCACCCATCATTTGACAGAGAGCCAATAGCGTGCTAGGGCCGTAGGAAGCGCGATGACGCAAGTGCTGACGCTCGCGTGATGACGGAGGCAGCGTCGCCGTCTCCAAGGAGCGGTCTGGGGCAGGGGTTTCAAAGTCGCAGGGCGGGCCGAGTGGACTTCCGCTGCTAGCGCGGGTCTTCCCTCGGTCCCGTCGTCACCCTCCAGCTCCTCTGCAGACTTGGCCGCCGGACTGCCCTCTGCGCTCACCTAAGTGTCCCGACCAGACCCCGGGTGAAGCGCGGGACCGCTCCGACCACCCTCGTCCCCTTCTCGCCCGGGTGGCATTCACTCGGCGCGTTCCGGCAGCTCTGAATCCGAAGGCTCCTCTGCGGGCCAGGTACTCGCCCGGAGCGGGGAGCGCGGCAGGACTGCGGCGCTGCGTGAGCGGGGTGCCGATCGCGCCGCGGCTGAGCCGCTGCTGGACGACCCCGGAGGGTTGCTTAGTTTTTTTGTTTTCCCGCACAGCGAGCTCTGGTTCTGAGAGGAAAGAGGAAGGTGTTGAAAGCGCCAAACAAAAATTATATTGACATGGCCACAGGAACCGACTTTCTGAGAGACCAAAGTAAGCTCCATATTCCTTTATTGAGAATTCGTACGTAATGATTGATGTCGTCATCGTTAACCAGCGAATGTGTTTGGAATACCCTTTGGAACCCAGTCTGGAAATTTGTAAAAACTTAAAAGAAGTTAGCTGCGTAAAAAGCTTGGTGTTGTACGTGAAGATTTGCATGTACTTAAGCAAAAACGTTTGGCAAATGCTTGTAGGTTTTGTAAGCTTTTAGAGGACTCTACTAGACACTGAATATGTTTGTCATGCTGTGCTCGTCCTCTGAAGAAAGTAGAGGGCTAATGGCCAGGAAGAGTTTCCAAGTCTACGGTTAAGATCTCTGGCCATTTGTTTAAAAGATGTTTACTGAGCTGCTACCATTTCTGTTCTGTGTCAGGCACTACATAAGCCTGGCTGCTGCAGAAGTGAAGTCTTACCCTCCAAGAATTTGGGCAAGGAAATATGTAAACACACTGAAGTGGCCCCAACTGCTAACCTTTGCATCAGTTTCCTCATAGGGTCGTTGGAATTATTAAGTATTAAAACATGGAAAGATTTAGAATAGTGCTTGACATATTGTGCTAAACAAGTATTGACTGTTACAGGTTTGCTATTAAACTGTGGTCAAGTGCAGTGTCCTTTGGGCTGAAAGTTGAAGTCAGTGTAAGTTTACTCTGTAAAGAACCGTATGGATATCTCAAGTAAAACACTGTGTTTGCAACATCGAAAGGATTAGGAATATGTTTTGTTTAAAGACTTTGTAGCCAGGTTGGCAAGAATGAAATGTGGATTTTTATATAGGGAAATGGCAAGAGGTGACGGAGGGGCTGGATGGGGTTAGATGAACCATTGCAGAGATTATAGGAAACACTGTGAAGAATTCATTTGGGAGTATCGTGATCAAATTGTGGTCTGGAAAGCCCAGACCTGGCCAATTAGGAGGAACATGCATTGTTGCACAGTGCAGTTAGGTAACTGCTGCCATCATCCAGGAAAGACGTGAACTAAGGTGAATGCAGAGACTGCAGGTCAGGAGATTTGAAAGGAAGAGGAAGGTTTTGACTGGAGTGATGGGGAGGAAGTGATATGCTCTATTTTGGAAGCTTTATAGACTGGTGGTTAAGAACTCAGCCTCTAGATTAGTCTGTGTGGTTGTGTAGCTTGTATCTTTCTTGTTCCAATTCTTTACCTTGGACAAGTGTTTTCTCTGTGCCTCAGTTTTTTCTATTTTTAAATGTATTTAGTACAGAGTCTGCAGGGTTCAGGGTCTACAGGATCTCACTATACAGATTGGACTCTGAGTGATTCACCTATTTCAAGCCTCTTAAGTGCTGGAATTACAGGCACACGCCACCACACTTAGTCTTAATTGCCTTCTCAGCGCCCCCCTGGGGATGGGTTGGGCTTGGCATGCTGGGGATCGAACCCTGGTCACTGCTTTCTGCCTAAACAGATGCTTTAGTCCAATGAGCTATTTGGCTAACCCGAGTTTTTTCATTTATGATGTGAATATAAGGACCTTCGCAGGGTTGTGAGATTTAGATGAGATGGAATGATGTCCTTAGCATGATGTGTGGGATATATTAGGTGCACTCTGTGTGTGTGTATGTGTGTGTATGTGTATGTGATCTAAAATACTTGATGACACTGTAATATTAGCATTATTTCTTAGTTTGGAGTGAAAATAACTTTGCCTCTAGGCTTCACCATGTAATGGTGTGAGACAGGAATTGCATAGTGACTTTGGCTTGGGTGATGGGGGTACCTCATTTTTTGAAAGGACGCATTTTAGAAGAAAGAACTCTTAGATATTATTGAGATCTACTAGAGAAAACCAAGTAAGACAATTGAAGCATTGTAACTTATTTCTTGAAAAATGAGTGGTAGTTCACCTGAAGACAAATGAAGTGGAAGTAGAGAGTGTGCGGCAGGAGGAACAGAAGCAGCAAAGATTTAAAAGCTTGAGGTGACTGTGTTTTTCAGGCAATTGGAGCAGGGAATGGAGAGTATGCCATAAGTGGTAAGAAGGAGTATTGGGTATCTGTGACCCCACCTTTTTTCCCTTAACTGACCATTATATCCAACTCAAGTGGTGGTTTGAAACACCATTTCAGATTTAGGCAGATGGCATTCAGCCTCCTGCCTGCCTCTGCATTTGTCTGCACTACTTATGTTTATCTTGATCTCCTTGTAATTGTTGCATTGGGATGTGGTAGCCTAATTCAAAACAATTTGTTTTAGTGTTTTTGAGCTGGCAACTGCATATGATTTTCCCTCTGATAATTACTATTTTAGCACCGCTACACCCAACCAGGCTTCTGGTACAAAAACAAAACAAAAAGAAAAAAAACCTTCTGGCATATTTTGGTATATTCTTTATTTCTACTTCCATCTGGGAAAGAAGGGAGACCTGCTTAGTGACCTGATCAAAAAGAACCTTGTATATAAATCTGGAAAGAAAGTATTCATTCCTGTAGGTATGATTAATGAGGTACTTATTTTTTCCTCTCACACTCTTAAGTGTCTTATAGAACAGCTTCAAATTTTGTTCTTTTCTGAGTTGCACTTTGAGATTGGCTAATCCACAGCTCTGAGATTTTCTTCTGTTCTAGAAGTTTTGTTTAGGTTGTACAATTTTTTTTTTTTGCCTTAAGTAAATTTTATTAAATAAAAAGATAGGTCTGGGAATGTAGGACAGTTCAAATCCTACTTCCACAACAATGAAGAACAACCAGAATACTCAGGTGTAGTGGTGGATGCCTGATATCCCACCCTATGTGATGCAGGCTAAGGCAAGAAGATAGGTTTACATTTAGGTGTTCTGGTATGTAGTGCAATTTTGTACAGGTATGAGATAAGGGTCTAGGCTTACTTTTTGCATATATATATATATATATATATATATATGCCCAATTGAAAGATGATACTTTCTTAATTGTATTCCTTTTGCACCTTTGCTAAAAATCACTTGTCTGTATATATGTGTGAATTTGTGAACCCTGTTCTGTTCTGTTGATCTATTTGTATATGTAGGCACCAGTGCACTATCTTATGGATTGCAGCTTTATAGTAAATATTAAAGTTAAAGAGTAACTTTTAAATTTGCTCTTTTTCCCAGTTGTTTCACTATCCCAAGTACTTTGTGGATCCATATAAATTTTAGAATCATCTTGTCAGTTTATTTTTTTTAAATATGATAGGATTTGGACAAATATCATATTGAATCTATGGGTTAATCTGTGTGGCATTTATGTTTTAATGATATTAAGCCCTTTGACCAGTGAAATACATACTTCTCCATTGGTATATCTTCTTTAATTTGTCTCAGCAACAAAATTTTGTAGTTTTTAGCATATAGGTTTTACACGTTTTGTCAGATTTTTGTATTGAAGTTTATAATACTATTATATATGATTCTGACTTTTCATTGCCAATATATAGAAATATATTCCTTGCCTATTAACCTGCAACTTTTAAACTCATCAGTTGCAATAGTTTGTGGGTTTTTTTAGTATATTAGGTTTTTTTTTACATGATTTTGTCATCTGAAAAAATGCTGTTTTATTTCTTCGTAACTCGGATGCTTATTATTTCCTCTTCTTGTTTAAGTTAGCTAGAATTTAATTAGCTAGAATTTCCAATATAATGTTGAACAGAAATAATGAGAGAAATAGATATCCTATCTTTGTTTCTGTTCTTAGAGGGAAAACATTTGTCTCTTGGAATTAAATCTGATACTAGAATTAAACATGGGTATATTTTTCATAAATATTCTGTCAGGTAATGGTTGTTCTTTTCCTAGTTTGTTGAATGGTTTTTTGAGAATAGATACTGGGTTTTTAAATCCAGTGCTTTTCCAACATCTATTGAAATGTCAGATTTTTTCGTATGTTGTTAACAGGGCAAATTGCACTCTATAAAGTTTTAAATTTTAATTCCATCTCTTTCTGGGACAAAATCCACTTTGTTGTGATATGCAGTTATTTTTTGATTTGGTTTTTAAAATGGTTGCTTAAAATTTCAATGACTTGGGGGTCTGCCCCTTAGCTCAGTTTTTTAAGTGGCTGCTTCAACAGAGCAGTCAGCCTCAGGTTGCTGTGGTTCGATCCCCAGAACTCAAGCCAGCCAAACCTGGCCTGAAGATATTCTGAGCCAGCCAAAAAAAAAAAAAAAAAAATCTATGACTTAAATTCTAAAGTCTTTGTCTGATTTAGTATCAGGCAATGTCAATATCTTAGAATTCCTCAGAAAAAATTTTGTCCTCTTTTCTTACTAGTGTGATTAGAGATGGTATTATTTCTCACTTAAATGTTTGACAGAATGCACCAGTGAAGCCAGGTGGACCTGAAGTTTTCTTTGTGGAAAGATTTTAAACTGATAATCCAGGTTCTTTAATAGTGGTCTCTAGTTCTCCTCCCAAAGCCTCATGCAGTCATAGGCAGACTTCTAGAGGCTGTGATTAATTCATGATCCAATGCTGAGATGGTAGGTGTGAGTGCTGCTGGGGGAGTGTACACCTGTCCAGGGCAGATAGCCTGGATGCCACATAAGGAAGGGAGAAAGGCTCCCATTTGCTCTTGCTGCTTTTGCTATTGGCTGCAATCAGGAGCAGCTGCCCATTGCTTTGTGCTGCCACTGTGTGTTGGAGAGGGTGATCTGAAACCTGCACAAACTGCGAGCAAAACAAACCTTTCCTTCCTTAATTTCGGGTGTTGGATATTTTGTCCCAGCAAAGAATGAAAAGTAAGACGAATGAAGTTTTTCCCTACTTCATTATATACTGGAGGGGTAATTTTTACAGACCTTTATTCAACTTTGTCTCTTATACATACTAAGTATCCCTATTCCAAAGACACATAAAATTTAAAATGTTGGAAATGCATGACTTGGGGCAGGTGAGATAGCTCAGCAGTCTACAGTGCCTGCTTAGGCAAATGAACCATGGTTCAGTCACCTGCACCACATGCCACATCTGCCCTGCCCCAAGCTAGGCTGAGCTAATCACAAAAAAAGAA